TCCCTAAAGCTGTTGGGATTTGGAGCCTCCAGGTTTTTGCTACTACTGTGCTGCTATGAACATTCTTGGTACCCATGTGCATGAGTTCCTCTGGTGTACACACCACAAGTGGCTCTCCTGGCCTCAGTGTTGGCACATTTTTAACTTTAGAAGATAAGCCAAATAGTTTTCCAAAGTGTTTGTACCAATTTACTAAGAGCGGAAGCATGTTCCGGTTGCTTCCTACCTTTGCCAGCACTTGATATCGACTTTTACATTTTCATCAGTGTGAGGTAGGGAATATGAAATGGGCTCTAATTTTGGCTATAATTCCCGTTTCTCTGAATAATCACGAGGTTGAGCCTCTTTTCATATTTATTGGACATTTGGAGTGCCTCAAAACGTGATATCCCGTTCATATCATTTTTTGCTCCTTTTTCTATTGGGTTGTCTTTTTTTATTGAGTCATGGGAGTTCCACAGAGACACTAATTCTTTGTCAATAACATATGCCATAAATGTTTTTTCACAATTCTTCTCTCTGTAGTGGTTTTAGGTTTTTTTTTTTTTAACTGAGAAATGTCAGTCTTTTTATTTTATTTTATTGAGGTAACAGTGGTTTATAACATTACACAAATTTCAGGTGTATATCATTATATTTCGATTCCTGTGTAGGTTACATCATGTTCACCACCCAAAAACTAATTACCATCCATCACCACACACATGCCTAGTTACCCCTTTTGCCCTCCTCCCTGCCCCCTTCCCCTCTGGTAACCACCAATCCAATCTCTGTTTCTATGTGTTTGCTGTTTTTATCTTCTATTTATGAGAGAGATCATATGGTATTTGACTTTCTCCCTCTGACTTATTTCACTCAGCATAATACCCTCAAGGTCCATCCATGTTGTCACAAATGGCAAGATTTCATCCTTTATTATGGCTGAGTAGTATTCCATTGTGTATATATGCCACATCTTCTTTATCCATTCGTCCCTTGATGGGCACCTAGCTTGCTTCCAAGTCTCGGCTATTGTGGATAATGCTGCAGTGAACATAGGGGTGCACGTACCTTTACGCATTTATGTTTTCATGTTTTTTGGATAAATACTAAGCAGTGGAGTAGCTGGATCATATGGCAGTTCTATTCTTAGAGAAATGTAAGTTTTAAATTTGAATGTTACTAAATATATCCATTTTTTCCTTTGGTGTTGTGTCTTAAGAAACCCTCTACACTCTGAGATCATAATGATGTTCTCCTAGTTTGCCTTCTTGAAGTTTTATGGTTTCATGCTTAAGTCTTTAGTCAACATAAAACAGATGTTTATATATGAGGTGGCCCCACCCGTAACCACTATCTCACTATCTTTTTTGCTATCACTTTAGATTAGATAGCATTTTCTAGAATTTTATATAAATGTACTTTTTCGGAGGGTGGGTCTAGCTTCTTTCACTGAGCATAAGTATTTTGAGATTCATCCTTGTTGTTGTGTTCCCTTTTTTGATCTTTTTTATTGTCAAGTAGATTTCACCGTATGGATGTTTATCCACTTGCCTGCTGATAGACATTTGGGTTGTTTCTAGTTTTTAACTATTCAAATAAAGGTGCTATGAACATTCATGTACAAGTTTTGTGTAGATATATGATTTTATTTCTTTTGGCTAAATACCTAAGAGTGAAATGGCTGAATTGTACGACAGGTATATGACCGATTTTCAGAAACTACTCAACTGTTTTCCAAAGTCATCATACCATTTAACATTTCCACCAACAGCGTATGAGCGTTCCAGCTGCTCCACATTCTCATCAACACTTGGCATGGCCAGTCTCTTAACTTTCAGGTGTGCAGATTATCTCACTGTAGTTGTAATTCACATTTCCCTAATAACTACTGATATTGGGCATCTTTTCACAGGCTTATATGCCATCTCTATAACTTCCTGGGTGAAGTGTCTCCTCAAATCTCTTCTCATTTTGTAACCTGGGCTGTCTTCTCATTAAGTTGTAAGAGTTCCTCTGTGTATTCTAGATATAAGTCCTTTGTCACACGTATGCTTTGCAAATACTGCCTCTTGCTTCCCTTTTTCATTTTGAAAGTGTCTTTTGAAAAGCAAAAAATTCTTTATTTTGACGAAGTCCAATTTGTTCACATTTAAAAAATACTTTGTACTTTTTGTGTCTTATTTAAGAATCTCTGTTATACCCAAGGTCACTAAAATTTTCTCCTATGTTTTCTTCTAGATGTTCTATAGCTTAGTTCCTACTTTTAGGTCTATGATCCACTTCAAGTTAATTTTTGTGTACAGTGAGACAAGGGCCAGAGTTCATTTTCCTCCCCATATGACTATCCCTTTGTTCCAGCACCACCTGTTGCAAATGTCCTTTCCCCTGAGCACTGAAAACGTAATACACAGTTGAGAGAAATTAAAGGTCCGTTAACTGGAGAGAGATACCTCTGTCTCCCCTGGGAGTCACTTTGAGACAATATTGGCTCTATGGATATTTATTCCCCATCTCATTAATTTCTGCTCTTACCTTTATTCTTTCTTTGAGTTTGTTCTCTATCTCCTTAGATGGATGCTTAGTCTATTAATCTTTCAGCTTTTCTTCTTTTTAATTTGATTTGTATTTTTGCTGAGGAAGATTAGCCCTGAGCTAACATCTGTGCCAATCTTCCTCTATCTTATATGCTGGTCGCCACCACAGCATGGCTGACAAGTGGTGTAGGTCTATGCCCAGGATCTGAAAAAGCAAACTCGTGCTGCTGAAGTGGAACGCACTGAACTTAACCACTAGGCCATGGGGCCAGTCCCATCAGCTTTTCTTCTTAATGTATGCACTTAAAGACCACACATTTCTAAGTATTATTTTAGCTGCTTCCCACAAGTTTTGATATTCATTATTTTCATTATCATTTGATTCTAAATACTTTGTAATTTCCATTATGACTTCTCCCTTGTGTCATGAATTGTTTAGATGTCTCCCAGTTCCAAAGAGATGGGAGTTTTTGTTTGCTATCTTTTTAATATCTAATTTATTTTCACCTTTATCAGAGGAGGTTATCGATAGTGATACCAATCCTTTGACATTTTTGAGACTTGCTTTTTGTCCAAGAGGTCACCGTAAATCTTCTATGTGTACTTGAAAAGCATGTGTTTCTGCAGCTGTCAGGCACTGTGTCGTAAATATGTCCAGTATGTCCAGCTTGTGTTCTTGAGAAGTTCCATATACTGATTTGGGTGTGGGTGGGGGGGTCTATTTGAACTGTGATTACCGAGAGAGGTCTGTTAAAACCTCCCACTGTTAGATGGCTTTATTTTTCCTTGTAATGGTTCATTTGTATTTTGTTCATTTTTTTCTTCATATATTTTAAGATTATGGTATGTTGTTGTGTGCATACAAACTAAGAATTGTTTTCTCTTCCTGGTGAACTGAACCTTTAATCATTAGGCAGTGGCCCTCTTTATCTTTCTCTCTCTAGGAATGCCGTTTGCCTTAAAGTCTATTTTGTCTGATATTAATACAGCTGGTGTAGCTTCCTTTTGGTTATATATTCCATGGAACTCAATTTCCATCCGTTACTTCTAACCTTTATGTATCCCATGTCTGAAATATACCTCATAAAAAGAACGTGTGTGTAAACAAGTCCAGTTTGACCATCATTGGTGTTTAATTGAAGGAATTAGTGCCTTGTTGTGATTACTGATATTTTTGAATATCTGCCTCTTATCTATTTGTCTCAGATTTTCTGTGTTCACTTCTCTTTTTGCCTTCTTTTCAATTGATTTTTTTCTTTCTCTATTCCCCCCGAATGAAATTTCTATGAAAGATGCTAATGTACATTTAGCACCTTCTTTAAAGATGCGTAATATCCTATAGCCATGGTTCCTCTTTTACAAAGGCAAAACAATAAAATCTTCTTCTCGAGGTTCATTTGGGAGTACGTAATTCCATAAAAATAGTATTTTTTTTGGTAAAAAGGAAAATATATGCCCTAAGTATTTTGAGATGGAATAGAACGGGAAAGAGTGAGAGCAATATTTGAGTCATTCCATGAGGCTGAGAAAAAAGTGGTTCTCTTCCCATTTGTTAATGAATTGGGATAATGAAAAACCTAACTTCAATTAGCAGAAGAATAGCAACACTAAATTTTCTTTACCGGTTACTTTCATGCAATAATTGAATAAATGAAATGTAACAAAACAGACGTAAGAAAATCTCAAGCCCTTTCGAAATATTCTTTAGGCTTGCCAATGGTAACACGATAAAAAGAACCTGTGAACTAGCTTTGTTTTTGGACTACGTGAAGATCTTTCAGTTACCTGTTGATAGTGAAGTGAAAATCACATATTCCTTCATTTATTAACTTCTCTTAATTTGAACATTTACCTACCACTTGGCAATATTTCTCCAACTTGATAAAATATACAATGATTTGTGCACCAGTATTTATTCTTCTGATGTTCAAATATCATCCTCATTATTTAGGAAATGTCATTTATCCTAAAAATTATATTATTTTTGTTTATTCATTTTAAAAAACTATATTAAGCAACCAGCTGCATGCCAGCCCTTGCGCTAAGTGCCAGATTTCCAATGTACTACAAAAGGAAGTGAACTTTAAGATCAATCCTGTTCTTATTTACTACAGTATTTCCACATATTAAAGTAATATGGACAAATAAATACTACAGCGATAGTGAGGATTTTAGTGCTTAAAAAGAAATACAAACACTTAAATATATTAAATACTAATAATTATTAATATTTCTAGGCACATTTCGGTTTCCTCAGCATTCACTTCAAAGATGGCTGGCTTCACTTTGGCAGCTGGGATTCGGTTCCCAGGAACCACATCGTGGAACCACACCACCTGTCTGTCAGTGGCCATGCTGTGGCGGCAGCTCACATAGAAGAACTATAAGGACTTAGAACCAGAATATACAACTATGTACTGGGGCTTTGGGGAAGGGGAAAAAACAGGGAAGACTGGCGACAGATGTTAGCTGACAGCTCAGGGCAAATCTCTCCCAGCAAAAAAAAAAAAAAAGACAGCCGATTTTATCACTTTTAAATAAAACTGAAGTTGAGATTTTGTGAAATCACATTCCATTTAATTCTTGGTAGATGCTTACTTTAAACATATTTTGAATACTTAGTAAATATCCCCATATGAGATAATTAAGAAATATCAACACTGAACACAATGGAAATGGAAACTAAGGCAGAATTAATTATGGTTTACAAAATATTAGCGTTTTGGAATTCTGTACATTAAATGCTTTTCCTTGCCCAGGGTAAAAGGACCATGTATTTATTCCTAATTCCCCACGACGATGACTTGTCGTAGTAACAATAACACAAGCTATCTTGCAAACTAAACAGCTACTTGCTAAGCACATCCTTCTTTCCTTCAAAACGATTTTTTTCTCATTCCAGGAATACAGTGTAACTGAATGTAGCCTGCAGATGACAGCAATGGGGTGTACGACTCTTTCTCTTCTAAATTCCAATACCTGTGAACTGATTAAGAATTATACAAAAACGAAGTCATGGAAGTTTACTAAGTAAGCTTTTTCTAAATTTTGTTAGTTCTTTCTCTCTTTTTCATACTGTTTCCCCCTTGATGTAGTATAAATACAATTTATTAAACGCGTGACTCCCAGCTGTGAGGTGCTGTAGAAAACACAAAAATTAATGTGGAGGCGAAACTATTGTTGTTTCCTACTTGAGGTAAAAGGCAGGACCCCTTAGCTGGCAGCTCTGCCCTTCTGTGAATCCACAATATCAACAGGTAGATTCCCGAGGCTGTGTCCCTGACAGCCTGGCTTTAGGACAGAAGGGATTTAGAAGACTGGAGACAGCCATAATCTACGACACGGATGGAAAATGGCTTGTGACAACTATTAGGGACGTGCAGCTGTTCAGAGTGCATTCAGAAATCAAATTATTATTTTTCTCCTTAGAACTGTTTTAGAAATAATTCACTTTTATACATTTCTGAATTCTCTAATAACATAAAAACTAACATCATCCTGTTAAAGGGTGATGGTTACACACTTACTTCTGGTAAGATAAGGGCGATCTCATCAAATCAGAATCGTCATTGACCACCCTACTCCTCCAGCGGTCACTTAGTATTCCCTTTTGGCAGTACAACATCTATGGGAATAATATGAATAATTTAGCCTCAAAACCAATCCATGAGGCTTTTCCTGTTATACAAGTTTTCCATCAAATACAGACCAGAGGCTGCCTTCATATGCTGAGACCACTGTGCAATCAATCAGCAGTAAAAATGACACAAATACCTAGCACCTGAAATGTTAGGATAATGTGTAACCAACAACTTTCTTGGGAATTCAAGAAGAGTACTTTGTAGCTGGGCAATAGACATACAAAAATCATAGAAGGAGGAGAGTGGAAACCACGCTGTAGGAAGGGAGGTTTCAAGGAGCACCAGGCGAGGATGGCAGCTAAGTGCATATTTCCTGACCTTTCCGGAACTACCCCTGCTCTACTCTGTTCCTCATCTCAAAACAGAGAAGGTGAGGTTTGTCAATTTCACTGAGGAACAAACGATGAAAATGATTTGGCCTTGGCCTTGGACTAAGGAATCCCGAGGGGCCCATCAATTCTGCACATTAGGAAGAAGAGGAACAATGTCACTGCTGATGAGAAGCAATACTCCAAACCATTCAGCAGTGAAATTATCTCCGGTGTCCTAAGGCAAGAGATTTTTTACATTCTATGTCTTCCTGTAGATCTGAAACAGAAAGTTCCATCTCTCCAGCATCCAGAGGCTGCAGGTTGACCATAATCAGAAGCATAATCAGAAGCAAGGCCCCCATTTCCGCCTGGGGTAGGCAAATGCCTCTGGTTCTCCTCAGTGTCCTGCTAACTACAGGCAGAGGGATGGACCTCAATGACCAGGATAAAGCACCCACACGCCTGGGCATGGCAAATTTAAAAACTTCACTGTGACAACCTGAGCACTTGTAAAAAGTTCTGGGACCTAAGTTTAGAAGGCTAGAGGGGAGCAGAACACATAAAAATTTAACACCTTCCATAACCTTGTTCTATAGCATTTATGTTGCCTTCAACACCTTTCCAGATCAGAAAGAAACATGAAACTGAATTAAAATTCAAGAAAATATGGAACATTATCTATTCAATATGGATTTTCATTTTAATGGTTACTATGTCTATAAATACATACTCTGCCTTATTGGAATATAAATCCTTAAAGGACTATGATTTTTTCCCCAAATCTCTACAAACCCCTATACCACATACAAGAAAAGTATCACACCAACGATAAGTCATTTTTGAGGGAAACTACGGATTGGTATTAGGGTGGGGCTGGAAATATTCTTGACTGGAGTGTTGGTTACACGGGTAGATACTGTCAAAACTCATCAAATGGCACACTTAAGACCAGTACATTTCACTGTAGGTGAGTTTTACCAAATTAAAAAAAAAGTATCAGGAAACAAGAGAAGGGATGAGATGAGGTGGCTACAGCAGCCAGCTGTGAAGACAGAGGTGGCACCTGCACCCCACCATCACTGCACACAGCCTGTGGGGGCTCACCAGAGCCCTGCAGGTGAGTGTCAGCCATGGACCTGGCCAGGATCACAGTGAGGCTGGCTTTGGTCAGCCACTGCTTTCCATCTTCAATTAGGACAACACTTCCTTACTAGTAATTCTGGTTATGAAAAGTCTCCCATTTTCTGTGGTTAAGTTGGAAAAGATCTATGACTGTGATACAGAAGATGGGTGCACAATGCAGAAGCCATTTACAAGCAGTTTGGTGGCCAACTGCTAACCTCAAAACACCTAAAAAACACAGCCTGCCACCTAAGGAGGGGAATGAGATCCACAACCACAGCCACATTAATACTTACGCTAACCAGGCAGCAGTCAGGATCTCCACCGGAAGAGTCTACACACACACACACACACACACACACACACACACACACACACCCCACTTAATTTTCAAGGTACAAAGGTACCGCCCTCCATCAGCGATACTCAAACTCCACAGGCCATTAATAAACAAAAGCACTTTTTATTTGGCTTTTCTGGGGAATATCTATTGGAGAGGCACCATCTGCAAGACCTTAACTGTGAGAACTTCTAATGACATCCCAGCTCTTGACAGTCCTCCAGCAGCAGCAATGGCTTTTGTCTTTTTTCTTTTTAGCCTGTTTGGTTGTTTACTGAAAAGAAAAGTGCAGAGAAGACAGAGGAGCAGATTACAAGGCCCCCTGGAGGAAAGAGAGGATGGAACAAAATTGGGGAGAGAGCAGACAAATGGTGAAAAGCAAAGAATTCTGTCTCCCACTCTACAAGGCCTCTGGCCATCCCGCCGAGCGATTCTGCGGTTGACAGGCATCTTGAAGAGGCGGTCAGATTAGCACGGGGCCACTGTCTATCCAAAGACTCAAGATGGCCTACGACACACTTCATGTTTGCAAATTCATCCTGGGCTCAAACATACGGTTTTGATCTAAGACATGAGAGGTGAGAAAGACCACAAAAGTGAGTTCTTCCCCTGAAAACCCTGTGAATTTTCCCCAGGAACAAGGAAAACGGCTTCAGTTGCCCAGACAGCTGTTCCGAGTACTCAGGCTTCAGTTGTCAAGGTCAGTATCGTATATCCATGCCAGCTGCAAGAGGAAACCATGACTCTGCTCTCCAGGATGTCCACTCGAATCTTTACTTCCCTTTTCTTGTGCTTCTCGAGCATGAAGTAGGAAAGTCCAGGTTCAGCCTGAACTTCATGTCCGGCCTCGGGCTTCTGTCAGTCAGGAGAATGGCATGTGCCAGCCTGCAGATGCTCTGATGGCCCAGCCAGAGACACTGCTGTCAACACAGCGGCTTCTCTCCTGTGACCTCAGTGACTAAGCACAGGCTTTGATGAACAAGTACCAAACCCACCTCCACATCTGAGAGGGGGACAGGAATAGATACTATCCACTCCTGAGGACCAGAAGCTCTCCGCTCCTTGGCCTTTTAGCATGGATAAAATATTACTTTCTGCATCCATTAACAGAGACTGCTCACTTCTTCAACATGAGACCATGGAAAGAAGACCCGAGGACTCCACAACCTGGACAGATAACTTTAGGAAGAGCGTATGGTTTCTACCAGCCACTTATCTTCTCAAATAACAGAACTCTGGAGCTAGAGTGCCTGGGTTTGACTCCTGGCTCTATCTTATAGCTGTGTGACCTTGGGCAAGTTACTTACTTTCGCTGTGCCTATAGTTTCCTCACCTGGTGAACGAGGACAACAAAAGTACCCACTTCACGGGGTTATGGTTGAGACAGAGTGAACACTTAAAGCTCTTAGAACAAAGTATAGGCAGTACCATTACTGTCACTAACAGAAATAGGGCAGAGCTTTCACACTAGCCCACCAGCCATTCTGTGGTTACAAAAAAATAGCTGCTCTTCTGGTATGATGTGGATTCCCCAGGAAGGAGGCGAATGCACAGTGCTAACACAACGTGAACTAGACAGCAGGTGCTATCATGGCTGCCAATGGAAAATTAGACTCTGCCCTTCCTAATAGTCCTTTAGTAATTTATATGCCTCTCACTGCTGGAGCAGTTGCCTAGGAGACATGCACTCCCAGGAGACTCGGTTGCAGTGGGTGATACAGAGCGCCACTGATTAATGAAATTAATGAAATCAGTGTCCATCCTCCCAGGATTCTTCAGATCCCTGACACTGGGGCAGAGAACACTGCTTCTCTGTTATGACACTGAGGACTCTGCTACTCTGCTATGAACCTGGGCTTGAACTGAGGGAGATCTTTCTTTATTGCAGCCACAAATTCGACATATTGAAAAAATACATTGTTTTCACTTCAGCAGCCTTTATCTTGCTATTAATTTTATCTTTTTTGTTTTGTTTTCTAGTTCTTAAAATAACTGCTGCTGATGGCCTTGAACATGCTTTACTAGGCATGTATTCAGGGTGCCGAGCTAGCACAGGAGAATGAAAAGCCACTTAGAGCGGAAACGGCTGATATGAAGTTATCAAAGTATATACAGAAAACATAGAGCGGTAAGACACGACTCTTCTTCACTAAGGTCAGTTATGCGCAAAGATCAAGGACTGCTTCATTCGTGGGCCTGCCCGTGTGCTTAGTGATTGACAGGAGCCTGCAGTCTATTTCTGTGGTCTCCATCCAGACCCGTGTGTGTCCTCACTGTTCATCCACACTCCCTAAGGCCAGCTACTATCCTAGGTCCAGAGGCGACAACAAGGAACAAACGTTGACTGTGCGTGTGATTTATTCCAGGGCAGAAGTCTGCCTTCCAGTGCGGTTTTCTCCATGGACCTTCGAGGATGAAGGTGATTTTTAAAGCCGGAGCCCCATCTTCCCAGACATGTACATCTGAAACAATGTCAGAAACCCAGGGAAGGACCTTAAGGGTATTATTTGTTCTTTTAAAAAGAATAAGGCGTCCTTCCTCTTCCTGAACATTCAGTGCAGACGCCTTGAGGTGAGGCCAAGGAAGGCAGGTGTGTCCACGCTGACAGAGAGCGGGGAGGTGCAGTGGCTTGGAGCACGGTGCTGGAGTCCAAGTGCGGTGAAGAAGGTGGTCACCCAGGAGGGAGGCCTGGCAGGGGGTGCTGGAGCCCAACAGGGATGAGGACAGTGTGCCGAGGGAGGGGCAGCCCAACACAGGGTGCTGAAGCTCAGCGGCGTCAGGGGAGTGTCCAGGTGGAAGACTGCCGAGAGCAGGCCAAGAGGGAGGGGATCCCACAAAGGGGCAGGGTGAGGGGGTGAGGGGGGTGAGGAGGGGGATGTGGGCAGGGAGGCAACCCGGTGAGGCACTGGAGCGAAGAGGGGTAAGGACGGCACTGTGGGAGTCTCAGAATCCAGGCGGGGTGAGGACTTTCGTTGGGTGGGTCCAGGTGAAGGGTGGGACCTGGCATGGGTGTTGGAGCACGGGTGGGGTAAGGAGGGTGTCCTCATGGGAAAGGAGGGGGTGGAGAGGGAGTGACTGGATAAGTAAATACAAGATAATGGAAGCTAGTTTCCTCTCAGTCAGAGTAAAGAGTTGCAAATCTGAAAACGGAGACAACTAGAAATAATTCTTTAGTGTTGCACTGGAGTTGGAAGTCTAAGGTAACATAAGCAGGTGTGCAAACATACGTATATATCTATATGTTTCCTGGTTCTGTCTGCTGCGAGGCCTGGAACAGTGACACTCCAAGAGCAGTGAGCACAGACAGCTAACTCTCATATCTCAGTTTCTAAACACTGTTCCCCATCGAAAGGAATCAGGGCTCCTTGGAGAAACGGCTGATTCCAGAGCTGGCGCAGAGAAAATACAAGATAATTCTGGAATACCTTGCACTAGAAAGTAAAGAGATATTCAAAGAATGATGGGCACATGTCAAAGGACAAGCTATCTTGAAGGGACAACCACAGGCCAAAACCAGGACAAATCAAAGCATCAAGATAATGATCAGATGACAACCAACAACAAAAAGAAGAAACCATGACTCCTAGTGATAGGAATAAATCAGTGAGTTAAAAATTTGATGGGGAAACAGGATATTTACAGTTTCAAAGTACCTTCCACAAAATACTTATAATTACGAGGAGAAGACTAACTTGACAGTGGAGAAACCTGCTGACGCCACCGTAGTGAAGAACTCAAAGTGAATTTCATCAGTAATAGGACAAATAAAAATCGCACCACTTGACAGGAGGCAGTGAGAAGAGAATGGTGTCACTTCTGTGACATTCCTGCCAAAGATGCATGGAGTCTCATCCTGAGGAAACATCAGACAAACCTAAACCGAGAGACATGCAACAAAGTAACCAGCCTGGAATCAGCAGGAGCGAGCATCGTGAAAAGCCAGCAAAGACTAGGATTCCTGCAGACTCAGAGAAACTACAGACACCTGACACTAAATGCAACACGCGATGAGGGATTTTTTGCTATAAAGGACATTAGAGCAGTCCCCCCTTATCCACGGGGAACACGGTCCAAGACCCCCAGGGGATGCCTGAAACCGTGGATGGAACTGAACCCTATACGTGCACGTCTTCTCCTATACATACGTATTTGAGGAGCGACAACAAAACCAGCATGAACTTCTTTTTCCTTCTTCACAATTTCACAGATAGAAGATTTGTGCTTACCATAGATCTTAGTAACCTCAGCATGTGACTTTTTTTTCTTAAGTTGAGAACTTTTACCTTTTTACTTAAAGGAGGCACTTCATGGCTTCTCTTTGGGATATCCGAATTGCCAGCATCACTACTCTTGCACTTTGGGGCCATTAGTAAGTAAAATAAGGGTTACTTGAACACAAGCACTGCCATCCCGTGGCAGTTGATCTGATAATGGAGACGGTGACTAAGTGCCTAACGGGTGGGAGTGTAAAGAGCGTGGATACACTGGACACGGGGATGATTCAGGTCCTGGGAAGGACAGAGCGAGACTTCATCATGCTACTCAGAACGGCGTACAATTTCAAACTTATGAATTGTTTATTTCTAGAATTTTCCATTTATTATTTTCAGACCATGGTTGACTGTGGGTAACTGAAACCACAGAAAGCAAAACCATGCATAAGGGGGCACTGCTGTACTGGAACAATGGGCAAATCTTGAATGGGGTCTGAGGATTAGAAGGGCGTAATGTATCAACATTAACTTCCTGAATTTTGTCTTTTTCTCCTAGAAGGCCCTTGTTTGTAGGAAACACATATTGAAGTATTAGGGGTGATAGCCATCATTGTTGGCAACTTACTCTTAAAATAGTTCAGGAAAAAACGAGTTCTTTGTTTTCTTGAATCAGTAAAAGTATTTTGATTTGCACTCCTATTTTATTTATGTACATATTTATTTATATACACACACATACAAACACACATGTACATACCACATTATGAACATGTTCTGCTGTCCTAATATGACCTACAAAACTTATGAAAATAGAAACGTAAATCAGATTAGTAAATAAAACAAACAGAAATGACACGGTCGTTGAAATTAATTTGAGGGTTCAAGATCCATGCTGGAAGTACCAGTGCCCTGCCCGGTGGATGATCTTCCCAGTCTTTCATTCAGCATGGAGTTAATGAGCAGCTGGGCTCTGTGCCAGGCGATGTGGAGGCGAGGCACCCACCTATTCTGAGCTCGCTGGCTCCTGAATTACCTCGTCCGCACCCATGGGAGCACCCTGCTTTGGACAGATTAGGCACATATGCTCATGGGTGATCTAGCTGTTTCTTAGAAATTAAGAGCTTTGACTCCTACCTTGATTTGGGGAGTAGCAGATCTTTTCCAATTGAAACTGAGATTATTGGGGAAAAAAAGCTTTGATGCAGGCTAGGTGCCATTATGCACTTTGACAAAGATAAAAAAATTATAAGCCATTTTGACTATATGCACACATTAGGGAAAAGTTATTTAAATTATTTTAGGATAAATTTCAATTAAATTATAGGAAGCTGAGGATTATTAAGTATTCTTCTGGTTCTTTCTCATTACTCAGGTCTAATCAAATGCTGCTTCTTCAGACAGGCCTTCCCTGACCTCTCTAAATAAAACTGCCACTCATCAAGTCGCTCTCTATCCCTCTACCATTTTCTTCACAGTACTTGTTATTATCTGAACTTCTTATTCATTTATTTGCATGTCAACTATCTTTCTCACTCTATGTTCTAGAAGGGCTGGCACTTCATCTTGTCCACCATGGTCTCCCTGGAACTTGTAACTGTGGCATAATGCTCACTATATCCTTACTGAACATGAATCAAGATGGGGCGTGTAATGTGTAAACCAAAGATCTCTAAGAACATGACTGCCAACCTTATTATTCAGTGATATCTCAATATTGCTGATAACTAGAATACCTACCTACCTAACTAAATGACCCAAAATCCTTTTTAACTCTTGTTTTTGAGACAAAATATTCACAATGGAAGCTACAATAGAATTGAAGGTAAGTGAAGATGGTTTTTTCATTTCAAAATCTTGTAAGATACTTGAAAATCCCTAAATGTTATATATACTGTGGTGTGGTCTGAGGACCCAGTGCTACTAGCCCATGAACTTTGATACCAGTCCATGACAAGGTTCGGTACAGAAAAGGAGAGGGAGTGTTTACAAGTGTTTTAGCAAGTTACATTGCTGTGACATTCCTATTGCGTTTGACAAAAGCATCAGTCTGTGACATGTGGGAGAAAAAGCTGGTCCTCCACCAAGTGATAAGTTTGCGAAGTGTTCACTGATAGTTTACCCAAAAGTGCATTAAAAAGTAATACAAATGTTAATGTTCACCAGACTGGCAAAAAATATAAATTCTGAAAATATACAGTGTTGATGATGCTATGGAGCAATGGGAACTCTCATAGACGGCTGAGAGGGATGCAAACAGGGGCAGCAGCCTCACGGACTCTTGGAGTTATCTGCCAAGATCGAAGAAGGGCAGCCTCACAAGCCAGCAGTATCATTCCTGGTTACATACTCTGAGACCCAACCTACCCCACGACATATACAGGACACGGACAGAACATTTACAGCATCACTGTTGCAACAGCGACGTATCAAAAATAACCTAAATGGGGGGGGCTGGCCCCGTGGCCGAGTGGTTAAGTTCGCGCGCTCCGCTGCAGGCGGCCCAGTGTTTCGTTGGTTCGAATCCTGGGCGCGGACATGGCACTGCTCATCGGACCACGCTGAGGCGGCGTCCCACATGCCACAGCTAGAAGAACCCACAACGAAGAATACACAACTATGTACCGGGGGGGCTTTGGGGAGAAAAAGGAAAAAATAAAATCTTAAAAAAAAAAAAAAAAAAAACCTAAATGGGGGCCGGCCCCGTGGCCAAGTGGTTAAGTTCACGTGCTCCGCTGCATGCGGCCCAGTGTTTCGTCCGTTCGAATCCTGGGTGTGGACATGGCACCACTCATCAGGCCATGCTGAGGTGGCACCCCACATGCCACAACTAGAAGGACCTACAACTAAAAATACACAACTATGTACTGGGGGCTTTGGGAGAAAAAAAAGGAAAAAAAAAATCTTAAAAGAAAAAATAACGTGAACGTCCAATAACAAGAATGGGCAAATACATTATAGTATATATGTAAAATAGGATACCTTTTACAAGTGAAACTGAACACACATTTCAACATGGATTAGTCTTACAGATATAATGTGGAGCAAAAAAAGAACTTATACAATTATGCTATTTATATAAAATTTAAAATGATGTAAAATACTATCTACATATTTCATCAGCGCTTTACAGTTTTCAGTGTACAGATCCTACACATATTTTGTTAGATTTATACTTAAGTATTTCACAGTTTCTGGTACTAGTGTATAGACATACAGTTGACTTTGTATATTACCCGTGTCCCGTAACCTTCCTAAACTCACTTATTAGTTCTAACAGCTTTTATGTAGATTCCTTTCTAGATAGACAATCACGTCAACTGCAAATAGAGAAAAATTTTAAAAATGGTGTATGTACATACACACAGCACTAGGCTGAACCACAAGAAATGCCGATATTTGAAGATTTTGACCCACAAATACAGCAATTTCATATGGTTCAACCCAAAAAAAGTTAAAATTGCATGGGAAATGATAAACACTGAGTTCAGGATAATGGTTGTCTCTGGGAGGAGACTCAGGGGGTTCAACTGTATTAGTAACATTTTATTTGCTAAATTGGGTGGATACCTGAGCGTTCTGTATATTAGTCTCTCTCCTTTTCACATAACCTAAAAGTTCTTTCTTCTTGTTGAGAGCATGGGATAGTGTCTTCACACAAGAGGAATAACCAAACTTGGAAGTTATTCACCTGTCTCCCCGTGGGCTCCTTGGGAAAGCAGAAGCCAAGGCAAGGACACACACACAGGAAGTGACCCCACGGGGCAAGAGAGGGAACAGGGAAACAGGGAAACAGAGAAGGAAGGCAGGCCAGTCCTTCTTCCTTCCAGGTTCTGTCATCAAGCTGGTCACCTCTGTGGGCAACTGGGGCTTGGTCGTCCTAGGAACCCTAAGGAGCCAGTGAGAATCTGCCTCAGGATTGTGGGTTTCAGTGTCAGAAAAGGGGGACTTATTCTCTGGCTTTGGTCCCCCACTGGTCAAGGGTTGCCCTATGGAATGCTAACTCCCCCAGACTTCCACATCTGTGTCTCCACCAATATGGCCGAGCAACTTCACCAGGCAGCAAAGAAATGCTGGGACAAAAAGCGAGATATCCAAAGTGCAGTGGGGGCCAGCTGCTGTGAGGGTAGATCTGCCCACAGCTGGGCGCTCTAGCAACAGCTGGAGGGAAACGGTGGGCCAGGAGGATGGAAAGTGGGGCAAAAGAGGTGTCCAATACATATACACATCTATGTTTACAAATAATGCTAAACCCAAGAAAAATGGGTTCTTTTTTGGTATTTTTTCTATTGTGGCAAAATATACAAAACACAAAATTTACCATTTTAACCATTTTTAATTCAGTGGCATTAAGGATATTCATGCTGCTGTGCATCACCACTATCCATCTCCAGAACTTTTTCATCGTGCCAAATTAAAACTCTGCACCCATTAAACTCTAACTCTCCATTCTCCCTCCCCCAGCCCCTGGCAACCACCATTCTACCTTCTGTCTCTACGAATCCCACTACTCCAGGCACCTCTAAGTGGAGTCATACAGTATTTGTCCTCATGTCTGGCTTATTTTACTCAGCATAATATCTTCCAAGGTTCATCCATATTGTAGCACACATCAGAATTTCATTCCTTTTTAAGGCTGAATAATATTCCATTCTATGTTTACACCTCATTTTGTTTATGTACCCATAAACAGACACTTGGGTTGTTTCCACTTTTTGGCTACTGTGAATAATGCTGCTATGAATATTGGTGTACAATCTGAGTCCCTGCTTTCAATTCTTTTCTGTACATACCTAGAAGCAGAATTTCTGGATTTTATGTGTAATTTTTT